ATATATATATATATATATATATTTTTTTTTTTTAATGGCTTGAGGGCACGGTAGCCGCAAGCCAAATCCCATCTCAGCATATCAATTTCCAAATCGGCCACTTTGGGGAGTTGCGATTTATTAATTTGCAATTTCTGGCACTCTCGCTCTCCTAGCATCGTTTGATTTCATTGTTTTCCTGCATAATTTTTTTTGGCTATTTTCGTGGTATATTAGTGCTTGCCACACAAAATTCAGAGTACTCCAAATTAAATTGCTGTGTCACTTTTTCCCGGCCTTATCTTTTCCTATCAAATTAGTTTTTACCACATATAAAGGTCGAATTGTGTCCGGTTATTCAAGCATGCTGCATTTGAATCGAGGAAATCATTTTACAATTTTTTTTTTAAATTCATTTGCGCGAAGTGTCAGACTCCAATTTTGCGATGCAAAAATTTATATCACAGCAAAAAAAAAATAAAATACTGCAAGCATTTTCCAGCTTCCGAACAGAAAATTCCCGACCGAATTTTCAAGTCTCTATATTTTTTTAATACAATTTTTTTTTAATATTCTCTTACGGAATACGTCATGCCACGCGAATAAAAAAAAATAAATAATAAATAAGCAAAAATAAAAATAAAAATGGACTTACGACTTCGATCTCGATCTCCTGGATCTGGAATCTAAGAATGATGGTCCAGATGAGACCCAATATAAGTCTCGGGTTCCCATCCACAATGTCCTCTGCTCCTATGCTCTCCAAACGAACCTGGAAGTCAATGGAAAAATTTTCATTGGACGAGTTTGCAAGCCTCTGTCGAACTCAGTCGAGAGTGATACAGATTAATTTAGTACTTCCCTGAAAGTACTATTTGGTACCCTTCGGTACTGCCGATCGTTGAGGGTTGCACTGGCAGCGCATTAGTCGAAATCCGTTGTTTTCGCTCCGCGGCACCGCATTAACTTCAGCGGTATGTACTTAACAGTACTCTGTACTCGTTCCAAGTAAGTTACCTCCAAAATGCACACTCATGCGTCGAGTCCTAACGCCTCTCATTCATTTAACACGTCTTAGCACTTCCCATTTTACGACCAAAACTTTTAGCACTCCATCTTGTTGTGTGTAATTCTCTCCTCCTACCAGAACGAAGTGGCCACTTCCGCCATGATTCAGTACTCAAGTACCCCCTGCTCCCCGCCCCCACGAAGCTTGGCGAATCTATAAAAATTTTTATTTTTAAGGTAAATTAGTCACCGGAAGAAGCAGCACGTCCAGATCTGTGGAGGCATTGGACCGTCACGGATGAAACTTGCTGGACTCAATCTTTTGGTTGCGAGAAGGAAGTGTACCGGTTTCGGGGTGTGAGCGTGAGCGTGAGCGCGGGTAATGACGGTGAGAAGGGGATAGATTGCGCTACGATTCTGGTAATAAGTCACTCCGAGGCCTCATAATAAAATAAATACATAATAATAAATCTTAAGCCCGGCCCAAGCATTCGAAGTGATTCAACAAATTTTTTTGTTGTTAAGCTCAGCTTTGTCATTAGCCATTCAACTGCGGAGCCTTCATCTTTCCACAGTTTAATCTTATTAACTTCTCGTGCATAATCAGTCGGGGCTTCCTCTCGCAAATAAATAAATAAAAAAAAAGTACCAGTCATGGTAGGAATTGGAGAGAGGGTTTCGTAACCTGTGCCAAGGAAGTCGGGGACGTGACCGTGCATAATGAAAGCTAATGGCCTCTGGCATTTTTATGTGCAGGCCAATCTCATCACCAACTAACGGCTCTTTCGCGTCGTCTATCGATCAAAGGAGCCGAGAGTAAAAAAAGAAAAATGCAGAAAGGAAACGCACACACGACCAATTAAGGAGCGTCACCGCCGCCCTTTACCATTTTTTCAAGGGCAGACCTTCACCAGCGGATTTGAGGAAAACAAAGGACATGACGAGCCGGATTCCACCGAATAAAAAAAAAATAATCCAAACGCCAACTCATTCGTGCCATCTGCAATTGCGGCGGAGAAATGGCACAAATACCTTCGGGGGATATCCGTAATATTTTCCCGGTCCTTTTGCGTTGCAGATGGCTGACATAAGCTCTTGCCCGCGGCCTTCACTCTCATGTCAGTTTTCTCAGTGGAGCAAAGAGATTTTTTTTTCTTCCGTCTGAACCCTCGTCGAATTCCGTTGGGGTCACGCCCGGCGTTGACGCGTTTTGAAAGGTGACGGGCGTGTTGTTCGATGGAACCGGGTTCATCTCGTTATTATTCTCGGGATGAGGTTCGTTTGGATTGGATCTAATTACTGAGAGACGAGGTGCAAACACATTGAATGATCTCTGATTTAATTAATAAACTTTGGTTGATTCGTGGAGGCTGAACGGTTCGAGACAAAAAGCAATCCTGCTGCATTTTTCTTTGCTTTTCTTTCTTTGTTTTTTTTTTTTCTCTCATTTTCCAGTTCGCATTCCACGGGCGAAGGAACCTGATCCGTACACGAGGGTGGAGATGAGAACATGAATAGAATTAGCCTGGATGGAGTTTCACGCCTGGAGGGAAAAGACGGGACGAGAACGCTCCGTGAATTCGTTCCTGTCGCGTCCCCGATTCTTCTCAAGGTCGGGGAAGAATCGGGGACGAATCGGTGAGGAGACACGCGAGCCCCGCCACGCATCACTAATGGGTCGGAACAATGCTTCTCTTTCAAGTCTGTCTCGTCTTTCTCTACCCCCCCTCCCCCTCCCCCTCCCCTATCCAACACGCAAATCCTTCGCCACCCCTAATAACGCAACAAGTAAAAAAAAAAATTTTCACAATCTATTTTTCGATCCCATGAATCGTTGCATTCATGCATGAGTCGTTTATTCCCGAGGCTTCCAGGAAGGACGGCGAGGGCTCCGTCCACGCGCCCACGGCCTCCCAGGAAACCCTTTGAAAGTGTAAACAAAACCGGACTCCACCGCTGACCTTGGTGTGGAGGAAGGCCAGGCTCTTGTTCACGTTCTCGATCTTGTGGACCCGCATCCGCCCGCTGTTGGGCTTGGCCAGCTTCTCGCCCGAGATGATCTCCAGCAGCTTCAGCAGCTTCTTGCCGTCGTCCAGGTCCGTGAACAGGTCCTCCACCTCCATCCGGGCCTCCAGGGACATTTCAAAACGTGTTAATTTTTTTTTTCTCACGCGCATTCGAATGGATTATTTCAAACAGATGCTTCCTTCGTTATTATGCGTCATGGTTTTCGGATAAATATTCTCGCGAATGTCATAATATACTGTAAATGTAATAATATATATTCCCTTTCTCCCCATTCTACTTGATTACCAGTTGGACACACCCCATTTCGTACCACGCCGCATATTTTATCGCTAATTTTTCAGTTTCGGCTCACAGATTCCAAAATGTTGCTTTGCGATCATGCTTCGGTGAATTCCGAAAAAAAAATGCGAGAGACGGCACCGCGACCTGATGCAACACATCAAATTGATACATGGCCCGCAGGGCATCAGTTGATACATGGCCCGCAGGGCATCAGTTGATACACCCCCTGCAAGGCATCAGTTGATGCATTCCCTGCAAGGCATCGCTTGCTTCACTTTTCTTCATTCGACTCTGAATGGAAACGGGAAAAAGCCAGGCGACATCCGGTCGACTGCTTTGCATACGAAACGGAATGCCCAGACATTAGCAAACAATGGGGAGTGAGGATGTGATGATGCACGTATGTTTCACGTAAATATAATACAAAAATCGAGAGTGACGACACATTCCCAGACCTCCGGGGTAGAAAGGGCGAAAAGCGGATGAAAAACGAAGTAAAAGGGAGCGACTTCCGTGCTGGAAGCATTTCGTGACACGGAGAAGGGGGGAGAAGGGGGAAGAAGGGGGGGGGGGGGAATATCGCAAAAAACCATGTCGAGAAGGGAGGGGGGGGGAGAATTCTGCCATTTGGAAATTATAGACAGACGATTTACTCTGGTTCAGTCGAGTCGATTCAGTCGGGAGACTTGCGTGCGATTAAAAGCTTTTAGCACGCGAGGCAAATGGCACGATTGGCCGCAAGTGCAAGCCGGTGCATATCGCGAGGACCACATCTATTTGCCGATACTATCTCGGCTTCTGCAGATATTTGGCCACGTGGTATCGGGGGATACAGGTGCGAAGTGTTATTTCGTCGAAACCCTACACTCACTTTCGGCGGCCTGTTCTGGGTCCGAGATTCCGCGCGCGATTCTGCACGTGTGGATCGATTTCAGGTCGGAGCAAATATCTGAAGGGGGTCGACACGATTATTGGCAAATTTAAGTTCGATGATTGCGCGACGCCGAGACCCATTCGCGAGACCGACCTCATAAAATATAAAATATAACATACAATTAAAAAAAATATGGTATAGTAAGAAGAAAATAAGAGCCTGGAAGACGGAAAGGGGATCGCATGTACCCGCAGGGAAGCCCAGACCTCGTGATTTTCCTCCCTCGTTTCATCCGATTCTGCCTAGGTGGTCTCGCTTCCCTTCAATCTCGCCCGCAATCATCACTCCATCACGGAGGGAAAACGGTCTCACTTTGATCATCCAGTCGATGGAGGGAAAACGGTCTCACTTTGATCATCCACTCGGTGGAGTGAGAACGGTCTGACCTCCATCATTCATTCGGTCGAAGGAGAACGATCTCACCTCCATCCACTCGGTGGAGGGAAAACGATCTCACCTCCATCCACTCGGTGGAGGGAAAACGATCTCACCTCCATCCACTCGGTGGAGGGAAAACGATCTCGCTTTGATCATCTACTGGAGGGAAAACGGTCTCACCTTGCAGAGGAAGGAGTTCATCCACTTGGTGAAGGTCTTCTTCTGGATGTGGAGCCGCTCCTCTTGGAGGGCCTTGATCCGGCCCGTCTCGAACTTGAGCAGGTCATCCCGCTGGGACACGTTCGTTCGCCCTATTACCATTCGGTCCATGGTTGATTTGCGGGCGTCACACTTTCGCGAGCATCACAGGGTACGTCTTTCGCGGAACTTTCGCGGAACGGTCGCGGAACGGTCACGGAACGCGAGGCGTGCGCGGGATCATCGCCGCGCCGCGATCACATCGCGAGTCCTCGCGTACACGACCGGAGACAACATCTGCGGGAATAAGAACACAGGTGGTGGTATACATTTATACACACTGCAAAAGGAGATCATCATCATCATCAGCGCCGTGACGTGCGTTGGACGGTGCTGGATTGCCTCGTACATCATCCGGGAGTCGAGGGGAGTCGCGGAGATTATCTCTCGCGGAACGGAAAGAAGAGATTAAGGGCTTTGCGTCAATAAAGAACCCCGGGTGATCCGGCCTGGGTTTCACTTCACCTGGCAAGGCTTCACTTCACATGGCAAGGCTTCAAAGTGAGAACCAGTTCGACCGTACAGGACGCCAAACCGGTTTTATTTGTGTTCTTTATATGCACTTTTTTTGTTCTCTTCACTGCGTGGAATCATTGAAGACGGGTCGGTTTTCCTGGTTAACGGTTTAAATCGGCGCGCGACCTGGATTTTTCCATCAGATACGCGGGATGTCCTTCTTGGTGGTAAATCCAATGGTAAATCCATTGGTTAATCCGATGGTTAATCCGGTGGTAAATCCGATGGTAAATCTTATCGATGCGTTTATCGGAGTTCCTATTGGGATTTACTGCTCAGAATTGGAAGCGATGTTATCAAATTGGCATCCTGTTGTCGTGCGCACGGGAGTTTTTTTATTATCGGGGGAGATATCTCGCGTTTATGAAGCGACCGGCATGCTCGGAAGCGAATTCCGGGGTCCGGCGTGATACGGGGGGGATTTATGACATTTGATGCCGGGTTTCAGATTGCAGACTCGAAGGTGACGACTCGCGATCGGGGACGCATTTGCCCTCATTTCCATTGGCGATTGCGGGGCAAAAAAAAAAATTGAAGGACAAAAAAAATGAAGGGCAAAAAAAAAGGGGGAAGGGCAAAAAGGGAAGGGCGACGCCGAAGGTCGGGTTAATGCCGATCATCGAGAACCACAAAGGGCGGAAACCAGATTCACACTGGATGCAAACACCACACCCGTGGCACAACTCACACGTGAACGGTTCACCCGTGCATGGCTCACACGTGAAGCCCATAAACGAGGTATTTGCGCAACGGCCAGGACGAGAGGAAGGGGGTGTCTGCGCTCTCCGTGACAGATGGAGTGGAAGAGAACGTCGGTGAAAACCGCCGAATCACGTGGATGCGAATGGAATGAAAGGAACGAGCTGAGGACTCTTCGGCGTGCAAGTCACGGCAGCAGAAATGACGGAGGAGGAGGAGGAGGAGGAGAAGGAGGAGAAGGAGGTACCCGGGTAATGACAGACTCATGGACGTGTCATTATTGCTACACCCACTGGAGGAACCTCTGATGGACCATCTGATGGACCATCTGATGGGCCATATGCCACTCACGTGGGGGGGAACGATGACCCCCACCACGTGAATTTTTTTTAAGGGTGTCGAAGCGATTACTCGGGTGCGACGGGTCACGCATTCACACAGTCGTCGTAAAAACTGCGAAAAAACGGGGCCATCGATGAACCGTGGAAGGAGGACAGCGGGAGGAGGACCGTGAGGAAGACAGTGAGGACAGTGAGGACCCTCGGCGTCTTCAAACCGAGATGGAATCAGCGGCAGGCGACGCTGTCACCGAATGTCAATGGACACGCGATGGATCAAGGCCGCGTCCTCGCATGCGACCTGCGTCCTAACTTCGACCGTGCGCCCTCGCATGACCATGCACCGCCGAATTCATTTTTCACCGCCCGAGAAAATCGACTCTCCCCCGATCGGAGATAAGCGATCGAAAATTGAAACGCGGTCCAGTCGCAGCGAGCGGCATTCAATCGTATCAATTCAATTCAATTGCTTCAATTCAATTCAATCCCACCACCATCGAGCAGCGAAAGCCTCGAAGGGCCGGAAGCCCCACAGAAACAGTTGATTTCTTCCTTATCAGATGCAAAACGGAAGAAATTGAGCGGAACGACCACGAAAATTTTCCCCTTTCAAAATTAAATAATATAAAAAAAGATGCCAGACGGCGACGAACTCCACTAACCACTATGCATATGAGTAATTAAAATAATAACCACTCCATTGAAAGGCCGGCCGGAAATACAGAGCGAATACCCGCCGTGTAATGCGACTGCACCGAGGCCCCGAGGGCCTCACTGAGGGCCTCACCGAGGGCCTCATGACTTCACGACCCAGGAATGCCCTGAATCAATTATAGATCTCTTCTGTCGTCCCGCCCATTTGGGGCAAGGCTTATTCGTATCACTTTATATACATATTATACACCTGGTTTATAATATGTATATAAAGAGATACCCCGCGGCGACGCGTCGCTCCCATTCGGACGTTAACGGCCGCGATGAAGTGAGACGGCGGCGAAGACGGCGGCAAACACGCGGGGAGATAAGCCGAATCCGTTTGCTCTTCATTATAGCCGGCGACTGATAAGCTTTTCAACGTTGCGTAATCGGGTCGCGAGGCTGGTTCTCGCCCACTTCCAGCGGTTTCTCGACGCCTTTGGGAATTCCTTTTGGACTTAGGGGAAGCAGACGATAATTAAATAATTAAATATATATTAAGGAAATGAGGAATTAAGAGCGAGGTGACGAAATGGGGACAAGTTACACGAGAAAAACACGCTCAGCGGGTGGATCGGTCTGGGAAGCGCGGCCAGGTGTTGGCCAGGTTGTAAGATTAGTTTCGTACGGATTCGAAAGGACCAAAAAAAAAAAAAAAAAGAACCAAAGGAACCCAAAAATAATCAAAAATAATCAAAAAGGACCCAAAAAGAACCCAAAAAAAAACAAAAGGATCCGGCAGCAGGGGAGCTATTGAGAAATCGGCCGAGATGTGGCGCGATTTACAACGAGATAGGATCCCCTCGTTCCTTTCTAATACCGCCGAGTCAGCGCCGTCTCATATCCACTGCCATTAAACGCCATCACGGGGATTGCTTCCAGTAATTTGCCTCATCTGACCGCTGTATTCTGCATGCGGGGATGTAAGACGGCGAAAAGGCTCGGTTCGCGTCCGACGATGGGGAAGAAAGGATTTTGAAAGACGAATCGGTTTGGGAGGAAAAATGCTCGCGAAGACAGGGGGAACTAACGAAAAGAAAGGCGGCGGAAACGAAAGAAGGCGGCTCTGGGAAATATATCTTCGCGGTGGATGAGGTGTGGGCCAGGGAACAGCTTATATGGTCGATGTAGCATGGGTCATTGGTCTACGTCAAGGATATTTTCTTCTCGGTTCCTCACTTGAGTGAACATCTTGAAAGGCTTCTCTCTCTCTCTCTCTCTCTCACTCACACCTTCGATCACCGCGGGGTAGAGGGTGCTGTATTTCCCTTCTTGTGTCAACGACAAGGTCTCACTCGGAGAGAAAAAAAAAAACTGCCAAAGGCGCGTCACGATATCCGGCAGCAAGCGCAAACAACTCCAAGAAATTCGTGAAACTCGCGCGGACGCACTCGACCGTCACCTGTGAAGACCGTCACCCGTGAAGACCGTCACCTGTGAAGTGCTGCGGGGATGTTACGGGGAAGCAACGAAATATCAGGAAAAGCAGCTGCAGTCACTTCTTCGGGTTGACAGAAGATACTCTGGAGAGGATAACGACAGCCGAGAACGGATCGGTGTCGACACCGCCAACCCAAACAGATAAAACCCATCGACACATGAGCGACGTCCTTGAGAGAAGCAAAGCACTTCGTCCCTGAAAAGGCGTTAACAGGGCGCCTCAACGGCAACACGTTAAAAGGTTGCCTCGACTGTAACACGTTGACAGGTCGCCTCAACGGCAACACGTTGACAGGTCGCCTCAACGGCAACACGTTAAAAGGTTGCCTCGACGGCAATACGTTAACAGGTCGCCTCGGCAACACGTTAACCTCATGTTTGAGCGAGGAGCGCACGGTCACTCGAAGGCCAATTCTGCACTGATCCACGTGGTGGTCCCACGAGCCAGATGCCATTCATGCGTCACGCATGACCGTTGGGGCATCGTGCGTCAGGGAACGACCGAATGGGAACTCACGGAATCCCCGCCCACTCGTGAGGCATTCTCTCCATTGTTCGAAATAATACGATGAATCGAAGAAGTACAAGGCTCGGGACGGGATCTTATCGCACGGCGAATGAACGATGGCGGGGGTGCGTGCGTCGGCTTTCGAGCCTCTTTTGTTGTTCCGTCTTCGCGATCAGGCGGAAAGGTCACGTCCAAAGGTCCGTGGACCTTTTCCGCCTCGACTGCCGGCCGCGAGGGGTTCGAACGGATCATTATGCATACCCATCAGACCGTCGCGATGCAGGAAGGAGGATCGACGGAAGAAAATAAATCAAAGTCTGGGCGTCATGCACGCCCCCGTCACGAGGTCATACGTGATGAAACCCGGTCCCATCCACGATCCAGGCTTACGACCCTTCCAGCATCACGGACCAGTCCTTTTTTTTGCTGCTCAGGGCAATGACGTTTTTACATCATCAGATCCTACTCATCCTCCATTCCCTAATGGTCCCACATCTTCTCACGACCCTCACCTTCGCAGGCATCACGGCGAAGCGACTAGATGATGCAAAGCAGAAGGGACTGGAATGTCTATGTTTTTTCCTCGTGCCTCGGGGGAATGGGCCGTGGCATGGGGAATGAATGGCTACAGGGGCTATTGGGCTATCCCTGGCGGTCACGGCCACGTCATACAGGGTTGCGAGATCCTACGCTTCTATCACAAGGTCGTCTGTCTGCCCACGTTTTATCACGATTCTTGAGTCGGGCGATCGTTTCTCTGCACCTTTTCGTCTCCTTAATCCCTCTCGGGCTGAAATTGATGGGATTTCGGCTTAGGGAAACGAGTCGTTTTTGATGCCTTGCAACCCTCGATGACGTACTTAACCGCGCTTCGAGTACTGAATGGAGGAGAGCATCTGAAATATGAAAACGCCTGAGGCGTTTGCCACGTTCCACACTGCTGGCCGACTGGACTCGAGGTCAGGGAAATGGGAAGAAAAAGAAGACAAATTGCTTATGTCTCTCCAGACGTTCATTGTCGGGATCACGGACCATGAATCTCTG